TGGTGGATTTGAACTGCCAGCCTTCTGGTTAGCAGTCAAGTGCCTTAGGCACTATGCCACCAGAGCTCAAAAAAACAGGTATAGTAGACTAATAAACACTTAAAGTTGGGACAGCTATCTTACTAACAAATAGAATTTAAGACTAAGGTCACAAAGGACAAAGAAGAACATATTGACAAAGAAGATATGTCTACCATAAACATATTTCTAAGAAGCCCTGAACAATAAATTTTAAAGCTTATGTATATGTCTATATATACCTATATGTCTCACATCTATCTATATTTATCGGGATGTGTGAAATCACAAATCTATCACTATAACCCTCCACTTGACAAATGGAGAAAACTTTTTGTGCTTGCACTTAACAAGAATTCCTGGTGGTGCAAACAGTTAAGTGATTGGTGGCTGCTGACCAAAAGGTTGGCAGTTTGAACCCACCCAGTGGCTCCACAAGAGAAAGTACTGGTGATCTGCTTCTGTAAAGATTACAGCTAAGAAAATCTTATGGGGCAGTTCTGCTGTCACATGGGGTCACTATGAATTGAAATCAACTCGATGGCACCTAACAACAATAACAGTTACAAAAGTAGACTGTGCTAGGGCACAAAGAAAGACTGAATAAATTCAAAAGTATCAATATTAAATATATTCACTCACTATATTGCAATAAAATTAGAAATTAATACCAAAATGCTAAAAAAAGTTTTTGGAAACTAACATTACTAAATAACTCTTGGATAAATTTCTAAAGGAAGAAATAGTAAAGGAGCTTTAAAAATATTTAGAACTAAAGAAAACATTACATGTCAAAATCTGTAGGACAATAAAATCTGAAGAAAATGTGTATGTTAAATACATTTATCAGGAAAGAAGAAAGGGAGAAAAATAAATGATCTAGTCATTCAAGAAGTTGGGGAAAGCAAAGAATTGAGGGATGGAGGAAATAATGAATACAAGGAAGTAAGTGAAATAGAGAATAAAAGAGCAATAATAAAGATTAGCAAAACTGGTTCTTTGAAAATATTAATAATATAGACTGATTTAAAAGAATGCAAACCATAGGGAAAAAAAAGGAAATTACCAACACAAGCTAAGCATTATAAACTAATATACTTGAAAACCTAGTTGATAGGCATACATTTCTGGAGAAGTAAAAATGTGCTCAAATTGATGTAAAAAAAAATAGAAAATTTGAACATACCAATAATTTTTAAGAAAAATTGAAATGATAGTCAAGAACATCTCATATCCCCATAGGAAAAAATTTCAGGCCCAGACTCAGATGGTTTTGCAGACACATTTCTATCAAACTTTCAAGAAACTGTTAATTTCCATCTTCGATACATTTTTCCAGAAAATAAGGAAAAAAGCAAATGCTGCCCAGCTCATTTTATGAGGCTACTTGTAATCTTGATTCTAAAACCAGATAAGGAAAATGCAAGGCAATAAAATTGTCGATCCATTTCATTTATGAATATAGATACAAAAATTCCAGTAAAGTATTAGCTGCCTGAATCCAGCAGCGTATTTTTAAAAATCACAGAGTTT